TTATCGATTTTTGTATGCGAGCGTATTCCTTTTGTTTACATTATAATGTTACTCATCTTGTCTCCGTCTAGATACTTCAGATTTATTTCGAAGAATTTTGTAAGTGTCACATGTCGGTTAGTACCGTGTCAAGCATTGAAAGAAACAATTGTCACTTGCCAATGCAAGGAGTAGTTGGTGTTTTAAAAGTTAGATATAGTTTAAATAATGTATAGTAATAAGTAACTGTTTATTGAAATTACACTGAAGATGCGGCACACCATGGTCTCAAAACGTTTGTAATTATAAAATAAAGTTGTTAAAAAATCTGAGTGTTGCTTTGTTCATATTTAACATTTAATATTCGTTCCACTCATATCACAAAATTCTATATATATATATATATATATATATATATATATATATATATACCTAAGTCTGTTTTTACACGGTAGATTGGTTCCAGAAGAAGCCGTGTAAAAAAAAAACGTGTAAAAAAAGACATTGATCTTATACAAAAATGGGTGATTTGTTCCTAATCTCTAAAACCTATTAAAATTAGTGAAAAACAAGAATTTTTAAGAATAAGAATTCATGTTTATTTTATTAAATCAAATATATAATGCTTATTTTTACAAGCATAGTAATTAATGATAAAAAAGATATGCACTCTAATCTTAAAAGTAATATAAATTCCCCTAAATTAGTGCTATTCACATTTGCTTTGACCAGTAAAAATTGTTTGTACGCGCTAAAGAGGAATTCACTTAAATCTTAAGCTAGTGTTCGCAAACTATCGATACTATCGATGGTTTCAGACTTTTTTCTTTCATAAATACTTTTTTGTGATATGAACATACTTCGCAAAAATTAAATTTGACAAAAAAAAATTAAGTACATAAAATTTCAAATCGTGCTAAATGGAATAAAATCGTGTAAAAAAACTAAAAATATTCAATTTTCAAACCGTGTTATATCAAAACCGTGTACAAAAAGACCGTGTAAAAACAGACTTAGGTGTATATATTAGGTCGGGCCAATTCATCGAAGTAAAATTAAGCGATATGGGCACCTTTTTATATGAAATATATATGTGTTATTTAAATGAATTTTGACTGCAAAACCACCCAGTAAACACTACTTGTTGCCGCAATATAACTGTTTATGTTACAAAGTTATATAATATAACAAGTGTTAATTAAATGTAATGTATTTTGATTACAAAGTTATATAACAAATGTTAACTAAATGTAATGTACGCGCAATGTATTTTGAAATTACAAAGTTATATAACAAATGTTAACTAAGTGTAATGTAGGCGCAATGTATATCGGGAGTTACAAAGTTATATACATTTGTTACCTAATATTATAAATGTGCCATGTTTTGTTAGAAAATATTTTTCACAACTTTTTTTATGAAAAATCGATTGATCTAATTTTTAAATGCTGTAGTGTCAGTTATAAGGCACGGATATATATATATATATATATATATATATATATATACATATATATATATTTTATATCAACCGATTAGATTGATTTAACTAGTGGTGTATGACATCGTGCGTTGAGAAAAATTACTGGAACCTCTTGTAGGAAATATTATTTTTTTCTTAAAATATATTTTTTTTAACTTTGAAAATATTAGATTTTTAAACAATTTTACATTTTAGAAAAAAATTTACTTTTTTGAAAAAAAAAAACTTGAAGAAAAATGTTTTTGATGAGATGAAATATCGAAGCGGGTAAGCGCCGCGTCGCTGTTAAACAAACAAACGATGTTACGGGACCCATAGAAACGTAACTTCAGTTAAATTCCGTAGTGTCAGTTATAGAAGAGCACGGATATATATATTTTATATCAACCGATTAGATTGATTTAAGTAGTGGTGTATGGCATCGTGCGTTAAGGCAAATTACTGGAACTTCCCGTACCAAAATTTTTTTTTTTTAAAAACAATATTTTTTTTAACTTTGAAAAAATTAGATTTAAACAATTTTACATTTTAGAAAAAAATTTACTTTTGTGAAAAAAAACTTTAGAAGAAAAATGTTTTTGATGAGATGAAATATCGAAGCGCGTAAGCGCCGCGTCGCTGGTAAACAAACGTAAACAAAATTGATACATATTATTAAAATCTCCATAAAATATCTGATAATAATAACGTACGACCGCCTAACGGTATATTTTTTACTTTTTTACTAGATCTCTGTAACCGCTAGAGCTGCCTTCCCAAAAATCAATAATGGTTTTTGAATTATTAAATTCGGACGCTCCGTTTTCTTGAAAACCGGGTTACCGTTTTTGGCACTTTTTGCCCCGTATCTTCGAAACGGCTAGACCTGCCTCTGCCAAACACTAATGCCTCGAATGTTGTTCTGAAATCGTCGACAAAATTTTCATTCTCGATTTTTTTGCGACTACTATAACTTACTACGGGAAGTTATAGCAAAAATTTTAAAGTTTCAAATTAAAAATAATTGCATTTCTAAGTTTTCCAAAAATAGAATTTTAACTTCTTCAATTACTTAAACTAATTTTATCAAAAAATTTAAAAACTTAGAAGTTTTCACAAAAATTCCAAAAAGTATATTAATTTTTTTGAATTTGAAACGTTTTAAACGTTTAACGGTTGTCTTCCTTTGTCGGGAGAGGGACTCAGGAGTCAGGTTTCCCAGAGTGCATTGCGCCCTGTAGCCTGTACCCTGTACGCCATTTTATATTCATGTCCATCATATGTGGGGTTGTTTTGTCTTGTTTTATTTTAAATATTTTGTAATATGGAGTGCTACGTGTATAAATAAAAATGCAAAAATATATAGTATATATATGGCGTAAACTTTACATATTTGCTACATTGAAATCGAAAGAGTATAAGAAATAACCTCAAAATGAATTCTAAGAAGTGCTGTTTGATATATAATATCATGGGGAGTTATCTTCGAACAAATGCGCGTTGCACTGTTTTGGTCCTGAGTAGTTTCAATTTTTAAAAACAGATGGCTCATATGCACTCAATTTCAACTACAAATTGTTCGTGGTTCATGCAAGTGGCTGTCAAGTATTTGATCGCTGTATGGCTGTACGAATAACCTAACTTTTTGAACTCGTGTTGTTTCTAATTAATTAATTTTGTTTAAGTGAACATTTGTGAAATTTAATATGGCAAAGTGTTTTTATAGTACCCAAAAAAGTGTCAAGTGCGGGTTAAAATATTTAGCTATTCCAATACAAGTTTCCGCAAAGGTATTTTTTAATAATAATTGCTGCAATAATTATATATAATCAAGATATGTCAACATGTTATTATATTGAATAGGTGTCTTGGGGGTACATGCAAATTGCTGCAAAATGCACGAACAAAGCGCAGGAGTACTTTTGACAACCAAGGAATGCAATATGTAATGACAAGAAGGATTCATAAACAATGCAATAATTTAAGGAATAAGTCGTACAAAAAGTCTCTACTATTTTTGGAGACTAATATTTATTTTGCCATGTCCTCAAACATTGAGAAAGTTGCATTCAGAGATACAAGTGTATAGCGGTATTTATGAGTGTCTATTTAAAACATTAGGTTCAGCTATTTCTTTTAAAAAGTATTAGTAGCAGATACTGTGTTTTGATGTTTGATGAAATACCATTATCTTCGGAATTGTTATATGATTGGATTGAATCTCATATTGTTGAAGTTATTCAAAAACAGTTATTCAGCTAGTATGGTTTAATTTAAATGTTCATCAACGTAAGTTCATTGTTATATTTAATAAGATTATCTATTACATTAGCAAATGTAAACACTTATAAAGTAAACTAGTATTGGTTTAAATGTTCATCAACGTAAGTTCATTGTTATATTTAATAAGATTATCTATTACATTAGCAAATGTAAACACTTATAAAGAGAGTCTATACCATACATAATATTTTAATGTATTTTGATTGAAGATTAGTGTTATAATATTCTTCAAATAAAACTTGTGTAACATCCCAATATAATGTTTAAATTCAAGATATATTTGTTACCGACCTTGGGAATCAAAAATATTGCTTTTATCTTTTGATTCATAAACAATTGTATGTGCATAAAACATTATTCTGTTCATTGTAAACACTTTGTTGATCTTTTATGGCAATTTCAATGATAATGTTTTCATGATGGAACATGGCTAAATGTAATGTTATAAAACACTCGTACAGAAACTATTCAAAGGTTTTGTTAAATGCAACTTTACTATTAATTCATTAGATAGCGAAATAACTATTACATGCAGAATTAATAAAGAACAATGTCTCGTAAATGAGTTTTAATCCTAGGAATTTGAATTTCTCTCAATTTTGATATCAATATATATATTTTATGTTTTTAGGACTTTTTTGTTTGTGAAGTATTTGTACTTTTTAACAAATTATTTGTTTTTTTCTTAACGCTTTAAATTTTTGTATTATTTGTCATTCCTTTTAAATTTGTAATTTCATTGCGTGCTCCTGTGCTTGTAGTTTCTTCTTAGTTTTTAAGATTTTAATATATTAATATTAGTCATTAAGTAATTAATATTAGTCAGTTATTTGTGCTTAGTTTAGTTAAATACTTCTGTGATTTTCTTCACTTAGATATTTAGTTTTTGAAATATTATTTAAGCATAATTGTGAAATTATAATACTTTTATAATTATGTATAATAATTATTATATTTTCAAACATTCCATAACTGTAATTATAATTGTTAATATAAACATAATTTTAATTGTTCTTTCAACATATGTAATATCTTTGAAAATATATATTTTGTATTTCGTATGATTTGTTCTTATTTCCAATATTAAAAATTATTCAGGTTTTTGGGGCTGTATACGATACGTACAAATTAAGAAGTAAAACCAGGGGTAATTTAAATATTATACATGTGCTGCCATCTATTTTTAAAAATTTGTATTCCAATCGAGGTAACGTCAAACCGCCAGACATAGCGATCTATTATACTTGTTTATCTATGTATAATATTATGAAGGGTAAGTATAATTTATTTGTTGGTTACTGTGCTAAAAGCCTAATTATTTTTATAAGGCCCCCGTTTGGAGATGTCTCAAAAAAAACTAGAACTTATTATTTGGATATGAAAATTTAGTTTTCGACAATGCTACAAGATACTAAAGGTAAATAACTGTTTAAATTTCTAATGGCTTTTGAGGTTTATATTTTATTATTGTAATAATTTCTTTTTAGGATTGGAGCCTAAGTCTCGGTTTGAATCCTAAATTGCCTCGAATAACATATGTGATTAATATGAAAGAATATCGAGAGGTTTTTAACAGCAAAACAAGGAATAAATGAAAGGTATATTGCATAGTTCCTGTTAACTAATTACTATTATAAATTCTGTTTTAAACTTTCTCATTTGTTTTTAAGGTGAAATAGTACATACTGAATGGGCTACAATGGAATTAAGGCAAATTGTGAATATTGAGAGTGAAGATGTTAGAAGTATCTCGATAAAAAAAGTATCAAAGCTTAATAATGCTCAACAATAATTCTAATAGTTGCATTGTTTGTTTGCAAAAAAATATAATTGTATTTGAAAATTGTCATCCTAATTTGGAATTATGTAATAAAGTTTCTGTATATTTGTGTGTCGAGATAGCTTGGTTAGCTTTAATAATTGGGCCAAATCTAGATATTTTTATTTCCATCTTTTATTATTAATTAATATCATTTAAAAATAGTTTTATATTCAATTTGTGTTTCATTTGAAAATATGAAATTAATAATTGTAATGAATACAAATTTTATATGTTTGTTATTGTTTTCGAAAAATATTTGTTACTGTTTATTATAACATATTTAATATTATTATTTTTAACATTTAAAATATCCTAGTTATTTTTTCATTTAATAGGTTACTATTTTGTTTTTCATTGTGTAAATAACAAAAAATAAATGTAATTGATATAAATTTCATGTATCATCTAAAATATTTGTTGCTGTATTGTTTATTATATTGTTTTTTTTTATTACTGTCTTGTTATGAAGTTTATTATTGCTTTATAAAATTTGTTGCTGTTCTATATAGTATAAAATATTTGTTGCTATTTTCTTTATTATAATGTTGTTATTCTTTTTATAAAATACTAGCTGACCCGGCAAACGTTGTTTTGCTAAATAGGGTATATTCTAAACCATTTCTAGAGAATCAAAAATATTAATACTTTAAGTACATAACAATGTGTTGTTTGAATGCTGACTACAATTAGGTATTATAAAGACAATAAACCCCATTAGTTTGTCTATATTTTGTCAATACAATCAAACTGCAAGTTTTATACGCTTTCTATAGAAAACATAGTATGATCCAATCCGAGTCTTTTTTGGTTTTTCGGATAATTAATTACGTTTCAAGTTTTTCAGATTCTTTTTGGATTCTGGATTTTGTGTATAATTGTAAATAATACTACTGAGCTTATACAAAATTTTCAAATTTTTGCGAGGAGAGATAAAAAATGAATTAAGTATTTGTTCTTTGACCTGCTTTTTGAAAAGTTTCAAGTTACATTCGATGAATTAAAGTAAATTTAATAAAAAGTATATATGTAGAGCAGGGCGAGGCACAAAGGTCCAATTTTACTTTGAGCAAATATAAAGTATATTGTGAAAACCATAACAATTATATCACAACAAATAAGACATATCAAACAAACAATTATCTGACTACGTTCAGTAAACTGACTTCTACTTCATCATTGTAGAAATGTGCTTTTTTGATGTCTTCCAAAAATTTGTTATTTAGACCTTTTTATCCTGTATGCGGGGTAACTTGTAACGGGCAGGTGGCAAAAGGTTTAAAGCCTTATAATTTTAAAGGTATTTTACAAAATTATTACATTTTTAACTAATGCTAAAACTACCAACGAAAGAAAACTTTTATTATGAATTTTCAAATATTACCGTTTACCTCCCTCATTTGAAAGATTATCGTTTTCAAATCAAGGTTGTAGCTGGCTATACATTTTTTTCCCTCTACTTTCAAATATTGTTGTTAAACAATGCTTAACTTTACTGATTTTTGACACATCGGTGGTGGACCTTTTTAATCCCGGACCTTCATATATTACTATCTATTCTGCGATAAATTCTGGGAAATTATAACTGGAAAAATGTTATTCAACAAAATGTCCATTTGATCGATAGCAAAGTTAGGTTCTGAATTTAAATAAGATAAATTAAAATAATATAACCTAGAAAATGTTTTATAAATACCAATGAGTATATAATTATACAAATGAGGTCTTTCAGAGCACCGTGTTTGAGAAAAATATGCCAAAAAGTGCATTTTCATATTAACATATCAAAAAAAAATTATATTTTGAGTCTCTAGTAACACTTGCGGCCCGTTTACTAACATTTTGTATATAAATAAAACTACTTACTACAAATTTATCATAAATAAATAATATTCGCGTAAAACATCACACCACCTTAAATCAGGCTAAGAATTTTGACATTTTCATATTTCAGCCAGCATGAAGTTGGCGACGAAATAGAAGTTAGACGTCAAGTTGAAATGTATTGGATTCATAACTTTGACAGCTAAAACCTGTCAAGATCATTATTATCACAGCCAAACAAGTATTATTATTATTATATTGTCTAATACCAAGATGATAGCCTTTATCTTAGACAATATATTACGTTAAAATACAATATATCTTGTTCCCTCATAGCAAATATTGCAGAAAAAACGAAATATATCTGTCAATTCCAAGACAGTATGAAGTATTTTGGTTCAGTATTATAACATCAGAAGTGTTTCAATTTTATTTCATTTACTGAACCTTCTATTTGTTGTTTGTTGAGTTTTAGTTAGCTTTCACTGAATTAAGGTTAAGATCGAAACCAAACCTAATAATGTATACAACGTAACCCTAACAAAAATAATGAATAAAATGTAACCCTATGCGTAAAACGTAAGCCTAAATTATTTTTTAAAACAAAATTATAACTAAAACATTGTATAAAATCTAAGCTAGACTAAAATGATCTTTGAATGAAAAGAATCCTAAAACATAACCCTAAAATGTAAAAATTAAAATAAGAACTAAATAGGCGCGTAATCAAAAAGCCAAAGCGAATAAACTTGAACGGACATAAAAAAATAAACACAAAAAGAATGAATCATAACGAAAAGCTAAAAAATATTAAATATGAAACAAGCCTACTTAATAAAAAACAATACGCCGACACAACGCTGAAATGAAAATGAACAAAATGGCCGACGCGCTCTTGACATCTGAAATGCTTGACAGCTTGATATCAGTCTTCGCCGGCAACTTCATGCTGGCTGAATTATGCAAAGTCTTAGCTTGATTTAATGCCTCCTGTAAAACATCCTATTAAACGTAATTGAACATAATCTGTCAAAAGCGTTTGACATTTCACGAAATTGCCACCGTCCATTGTTATATTTAAATTACGCTTCTACAAAAATTTTCAAATTAAAAATGTAAAGTTTCTACGCGGATTTGAAATAATTTCTCACCTTTTGGACTTTCTCTGGATTGGCACGAATTTTTCAAGACTAAGACTGGCCAAATCGATTCAGCCGTTTTCGAGTTTTATTCGGACATTTGAAAGAGAGCTCCATTTTTATATATAAGATTTGTTACTGTTCTGTTTAGTATAAAATATTTGTTGCTATTTTGTTTATAATAAAATACTTTTTACTGTTCTGTTTAGTATAAAATATTTGTTGCTATTTGTTTGTTATAAAATACTTATTACTGTTTTGTTTAGTTCAAAATATTTGTTGCTTTTTGTTTGTTATAAAATATTTGTTACTGTTTTGTTCAATTCAAAATATTTGTTGCTATTTGTTTGTTATAAAATACTTATAAGTATTTGTTGGTTTGTTATATATTTGTTAAAAATACTTATAAGTATTTTATAACAAACAAATAGCAACAAATATTTTGAACTAAACAAAACAGTAATAAGTATTTTATAACAAACAAATAGCAACAAATATTTGTTGCTAGTAGTTTAGTACCAAATATTTGTTGCTATTAGTTAAAAAATACTTGATACTGTTTTCTATAGTTCAAAATATTTGTTGCTATTTGTTTGTTATAAAATATTTGTTACTGCTTTGTTTAGTACAAAATATTTGTTGCTATTTGTTTGTTATAAAATACTTATAAGTATTTTTAACAAATATATAACAAACCACCAAATACTTATAATTATTTTTTAACAAACAAATATTTTGAACTATAGAAAACAGTATCAAGTATTTTGTAACAAATAGCAACAAATATTTTGTACTAAACAAAACAATATCAAATATTTTATAACAAACAATATCAACAAAGATTTGTTGCTATTTGTTTGTTATATAATACTTATGCATTTGTTTAGTTCAAAATATTTTTTGCTATTTGTTTGTTATGAAATATGTGTTACTCTTTTGTCTAGTACAAAATATTTGTTGCTATTTGTTATAAAAAATTGTTGCTATTTTGTTTATTATAAAAAACTTGTTACTGTTCTGTTTAGTATAAAATATTTGTTGCCACTTTGTTTATTGTAAAATATTAATTTTAAATAATAAATACAATGAAATATGAGTCAATCTTTTTTTTTCGAGAAAAATCAATTATTTACGCATAATTTAAAAGCATTGCAAAAAGTGCTGATTCATATCGCATAGGTACATTACAGTATGTTACCGCAACTTAACAATGTTATATAACAAGTTAACTAACAGGGTAGTAAATAGTTACCTGCAGGTAATAAAATTTCTTAGGGACGGTAAGGTTGACGTTATATAACTAGGTAACATTTTTATATAACCGCAACCTAACGGCAATATAAAATTGTTTATAGGGCATATATCGCAAATAACTCTTTAGCCAGCAAAATTTTCAATAAAATACTGTTTTAATAAGTAAATATATTGATTTTGGCATGTGAATAATTCAAATTGTGAGTTATATTTTTATTAATAGTTTGTGCGGGGGTTTTTAAATCGGATTTGGTTTGTTGTTATTTATTTCTATCAGAGTGCGCTAGTATATATTTTATTATAATTCTAGAAATTTCGAAAAGAATATATTAATGTAATAAATCCGCATAAATCTTCATTCAGTTCTTATTTAAATTCAGGCGCAAGTGCCAGTAATTTGAATCATATGCGCTCGCATGATCAAACTACATTTAAACAAGCAGAAGAATTTACAGGAGTAAATCTTCCGACAAGTGTGGAAATTATCAGGTATTATTTTTATTTGGCGGAAAAATAAAAAAAAACAAAATAAAATGTTTTCATATAAACGAAATTGATTCAGACGTGGAAAAAAATTGATATTCCAATTATGGAGAAACGAAGTATCGCTAGAAAATTGAAGCGATTGATTGATAAATATAAAAGTACAAATAAAAGCAAGTCTATCCAAGCATCATCTCAGGAGTTCGTAGAATCCGCGAAAGAATTATTTTATATTGGAAAATGCAAATGCGATTTGCGAAGAATACTGTGTTCTTGCGGACTGATCCCAGAACATTTACAAGCGATTATGATGAATCAACAAAATGAGAGGAAATTTACGATACTAGAATATAATATGAAAAAAATGAAGTATCAGCATCTACAATAACTAGCAATATTAC